CGTCGAAACTTGAAGAAGTTGTTCGAAGTGCTCAAACCAGCGTTTCAGCTGGTCAGTGGGGTCGGTAAGCAATTGTCCAGTCGTGTCCTTCACTGGCATCCTCGGGTTTATCCTTGCTCCACTCAGGCGTCGTGAGATATCGTAGAGGAGGCATATATCGCCAGTGTTTGCGGCTTTCTCCCCTTCGTCGGCCAGGGAGTTCACCCACGCTCGCTTGTCCCGTCTGCAAGAGCGCTTGACTTCCTTCTCTAGAGCCGAGTACCGTTGACGGGCTTCGTTCTTGGCTCCTCTGGTTCTCGCCCGCTCTATCGCGGCTTTTGCTTCTCTACGCTCCTCACCATCGGTTCTTCCGGTTCGCCTCCTAGCATCGTGCTATAAGGTACCAGGCGATAACCAGGGTAGTTGATCGATAGCTCGATGACGTCATTTCGTTGGCGTCTGCTATGGGAAATTCTCATAGCAGGCGTTGACGATGGGACGTTGTCGAGTTGTTGAATAGCAACTATCGTGCTAACTCACCGATTACCTGTCGATCTGCCAAATTTGGAAAGACGTCTGCATTGAATTGTCTCATATAATAATATTCCGCCCACTATATCACACGAAATTGCGAGTAGTTGAGTGGAATGGAGATAAGTTAAGCATTGGGTACAGGACCAAGTCTCCCCTGGGTGGTGCCAGAAGATGAGCGCAATAGAATCATCAAGTTGCCATAAGGCACGGAATGAGACTATTGCATGGCTGGGTAGTCAAAGTCTTCCATTCGTTAGTCATTTCAGGTGGATTAGAACAGGTTTAGGTTTAGGGTGGGCGTTGGCCAGATTTGGATTTTTCAGATATAATCCTAAATAGGACCTAGATTATTTAATACACTAGTAACCTCAACTTCTGTCACAATGTTTCATTGTGACTAATCAACACTGGGTAAAATATCAAATTTGCGGTAAATTTGAAAAAAGGGAACTTGGAGTGTAGAGTGCACTGCCCACTGGACGATTCTGAAGCCTGACCAAGTGAGTGGGTTACGGGTTTATTTGATTGTACGTCATTTCCAAGTTATATATAGATACATTCATACCATTGGCATTTTGTATTTGAGATAAGACAGAGACAGGATGCGGAGGGCCCGCTTAGGGGGAGCGTAACCCATGTTATGGCTTCCATTTATTAAATAGTTCAGATAGGCTGGAAATGATAGGTTCATGGTGAGAAAATGTACCATATGGTGCCCGTTCACTGATCAAAATTAGATTCAAATCGTCAGGCCCTGCCCTGGAATAAGGGAATTGACGATGATTTGTCAAGTTTCATTTTGCATTTGCATATAATTGTAAGTTAAGGTTTGCTTTTGTAATTGTAAGATAGATAGTTTGCCTCAATTGAAACATTGAGTTAAACATGACGAATCATACCTCTAAAATAGTAGTAGTTACAGTGCCGCATTATCTAACTTTTGTTTTGTTTGTTTACATATAACTAATACTAATACCTCCTTGTTTTCTCTCTAATTTGTCTACTATGTCCCACCATCACGATGAGAGATGAGCTACCGTACATGGTACACGCTCATATACACTCCCAAAATAGTATGCCGCAAGTAAGTATATCACAGAGGCAACTAAAGATCCAGAAACAAAAACCGAAAACGCTGAACGGCAGATTGGTTTACAGTGGTCGACCAGGGTGTGTGCGGATAAATTACAAAATTACAATTAGGGTAGATGTACCAGTTATGGCTGTGCGTTCCTGTTGTGGTGTGTTCCAATCATGGCCTATGGAAATCCTATATGCCATAATTGGAACACATCATAATAGGAGCGTATAGCCATAACTGGTACATCTACCCTACATCATTATTCCATACATCAGCTTGAATTACGTTGATCGATATTACATTTTTTTTTTGCTGTGCACTACACCACCGGAGCCAGCAAAGTTCAACAATCCATCGTTGCTTATGCCTTTGTTATCGTTTGGAACCAGTTTTGCGAGGTAGGTGACGATTGTGCGTATTTCTCGCGTAAATTTTGAAAAGGGCCTAGCCTGAACAATACGTAAAGAGCAAATTGAAACATTGTACGTCGCGTGAATGTGGAACTTAATGAAGGCCTAAGTACTTTTTCGGATTTGAAAGATCGTCGGTTACAATGGCCTGCTTACTGAGCAGAAAAACGGGGTCCCAGGTCCTTACATATCAAAGAGATTTATAGTAAAATCGCTTGTGTATCGTGTATTTTGCGAAACTCGTTGTTGTCGTTGGTTCCGGGTTTGAATGGATACAAAAATTTGAGCAACTGTATTATGTGATATGAGGGGCTCGGTGGCCTTAGAGCAACCTTTTTTGCTTACTGAGCAGAACATCATGAGTCTAATCTCAGGCCCATCCACAATCAAGATTCGTCAATCGTTTTATTTGTTAATACGACTACATGGTAATAACAGCAACTCGGTGATTAAAAAGGTGCTCGTCTGCCTAGTGGCAAACGTTTTTGCTTACTGAGCAGAAGACCGTGGGTTTAGTCCCAAGCTCCTTCGCGTTATATGATCGTTAGGACATTAATTCAGCTTATCGTTTACCAAAACGAACCCTGCTGCAAACCCAACCCTCTTATCCAACATCCCAGTGATTCCTCGTGGAAGTGCAGAGGTGTTCTCGGCTTCCATCAAAGCGAGTGTCATGTCAACACAATCCTTCCCATTCCTTTCTTGACCTGTGTTCGGGCGCGGCCGACGCTGGTATTGCCTAATTTGAGATCACCAGTTTTTACACATTGAGGATGATTGCTAGTCCCAAGCATCGTCTATTGGTTCTCTGTGTAATTACAGCTGATCTGGCAATAACAGAGTAGTAACCGTGGGCGGTCAATCAAGCTCAAGCTCAAGCTCAAGCTCTACGCTCCTCAATCTTCCGCCAGGTTTCATATGTGATCCACTCTTTCCTCTGGGTGCGCAGCTCACCCAAGTTGTTCTCGCTTGTTTCTATAAAAGCATTCTTGATGGCCGTCCATTGTTCTTCTACGCTGCCACCTTCTGGAACGTCCGCAGCTCGAGTCTCAAGTTCTTCAACAAAAGACCTTTTTACCACTGGATCTTCAAGTCGGCGTGTGTTGAACCACCGCCCGAGTCTCTCCTCCCGTCGCTGGATCCACGCCATGCGTAGGCGGATTTCACCGATTAGAAGGTGATGGTCAGACGCGATGTCGGCGCTGCGTTTATTCCGGACATCAAGAAGGCTCCGTCTCCATTTTCGGCTGATGCAGATGTGGTCGATCTGATTTTCGGTATGTCCATCACGGGAAACCCACGTGACTTTGTGCACTGGCCGATGGGGGAAGAGCGAGCCCCCGATCACCATGTCGTTATTGCCACAAAATTCTGCAAACAGCTCACCGTTCTCGCTCATTTCGCCAGACCATGGCGTCCCATGACACGCTCATAGTCCGTGTTGTCGGAGCCGATCTTCGCATTGAAGTCGTCAGTTGACTGTAAAAATTCTCCTTGTCCTGTAGCTCGGCAGCATCGGTTGGCGCATAACAATGAATTATGGTAAGGTTACGAACCCGTGTTCTAAATCTGGCAACGATTATCCTCTCATTAACAGGCTCCCACTTGATGAGCGCAGCACTTGCCTGGACGCTAAGTAGGAGACCAACTCCACGATGGCGGGGAGCGTTTTAACCTCGAATATCAGAGTATAGTAGTACCTGTCCCGACGGCAGTTTGTGTTCTCCAAAGTTTGGCCAACAAACTTCACTCAGTCCCATGATTTCTAGCTTCATGCGTCGCGCCTCGTTGGCGAGTTGTGCCAGTTTACCCTGCTGGGCTAACGTCAATACATTCTATGATCCAATTCGTGTCCGTTGTTTTGCGCTAAAAGTCGTTGCCGTTATATCAGTTCGATGTCTTTCTCTGTTGGTTTCTGTAACAATTGTTAAGGTTTCAGAGACAGTAGGTGGTTGGCCTAAGGTCTCCTATCCGCCGTGATGGGGCTGCCATCTTAGGTGTAGCTTCCGGGGAAGAGCATTTCTTATTCATTCTCAGACTTTGATGCATTTTCGAAAAATTCAAATGCAGTTTTTTTCGACGCATCACTTCATATTGCAAAAAGCTCGCGTCATTTTGTGTAAAATAGCAAAAAGAATAGAATGACGCGAGCTTTTTGCAATCTGAAATGAAGTTTCGAAAAAAACTGCATTTGAATTTTTCGAAAATGCATCAAAGTGAATTGAACCTTAAACTCTTATATTCCTGGCGGCTGCATGAGTCACGAAAAAAGTTTCGTAAATCTCCTCTTCCTTTTCTTTTCTCCTCCTTCACACCGTCCTTTTTCTCTCCTCACTCTGTCAACGACGACAATTTCCAGGGTGGTATGCATCTCATCACTTGCATCCCACAGACCTGTACCGAATTCTGTAGTTTCAAAACTAGCCCAATCACCCTTAAAACCTTAAACGTTGTTGGTTGATAGTATCCTGACTTCCATCGTAACGTGGACGTCGGAAAGTTCTCTCCACATCGAAAACTTGCACGGCGAATGAGAACGACCCAAATTAGAGTTTAGTTCACTCATAATCGCCTAAAGTGCAGGAACTCAGCGATGAGTAAATTTGTCTTATGGTTTCCTGTGGAAAACCTAAAAAATCTGGCGGAAAATGAGGAAATTGACGAAAATTTTATTTAGTCTCGGAGTAGTACCAATAGACTGAGTGAATCCAATCTTTTCTTTTCTCAAATTTTGGAATTTTTCCCTGGAAAATCCTGGGAAAACATGAGACAAATTTTACTCATCGCTGAGATCCTGCACTTTTGGCGATTATGAGTGAACTAAACTCAAATTTGGGTCGTTCTCATTCGCCGTGTGAGTGTTACTTATTGTTGCTGGTACCAACTATCTGCAGTGATGGGGATTATGCCTATTCAAATATAATAAACCTTTGATTTCGGAAGCCCCAAACCAGAGAAGCGTGATATTCTCTACGCCGAAACACTCCAAAATCTCATAAGTTTTTTGTCCGCTTTTATTAGTTTTTTTTTGTTTGTTTCTCTTTCATCATTATAGAGTGTTGTATACACGTGAATAATTTTATACTTTCTTCAACAGCTATAATAGGTATCGTAATATATTTTCTGCACCTTTCACTAGCGTACCTTCTTCATCTGTACAGAGTGTTTCCGTAGTAAGATTTTTTTCAATCTGCAGTATCTTCTGATCCGATAGGTCTCCCAACACCACCAGATGATGCGGATGGTATCCGGATGAAGCAGTTTTGAAAATATTGAACGGTACACATCGGAAAGGATAATTTGGAATCCAATTTCCTGATGTCACGTGCAAAATTCCTGAAACTCGATCATTTTGACCTATCGGTAGTCCACTTGCCAGTTTTGTCTATATCCTGGAATTTGTTGTTGAAAATGTGTCCGATTAGCTAGATTCGGTCGTTCGACCTATGAAGGGAAACTTTCAGCTAAAATAATTTGTGACGTCGCGTAACGCTTTTCTGAATATTTGTATGTGTTTTTCTCTAGACCTTAGCTGCTAATTATTGTACAGAAATGCTCCCTTCCGAGTACGGCTGCCTTGCACAACAACGAATGCTCCGCTGGAATCGATGGGTGCCATCCAAGAAGCGCAATGGGGTGAGAGTGGACCACCTTCCGGTTAGTTCCATCGAACGGCGGTTTTCTGCAGCGGATGTTCGGCTGACGTGGTGATAATCAAAGGGGATTTAACCAGATGCGATTGGAACTGTGTGAGATGTTGGTACAACCGGAAAGTGTTCATCTCATCCAAGGCGAACGTACAACGACACGTCCAGGGAAGTCCAGCTGAAGCACGTGTAGTTGGTCGGCAACACCCGACTGTCGGAAGCACTTCTTCGATTTTTTTTAAGACCATGCAAAAAGGAAACGCTCATACTTAACGACTAATTGCTTACGGGCTAATATAATAGAAATGTATCAACAAATAAAAATGAAGTTTATAGCACGAACAAATTGAAAAGGGACGTGAGAGGGAAATACGTAGTGATTGCGCTTGTGTTCTTCCTGCTATTGCATCTATTTATACCTCTTCCACGATTACATATTTGACTACTTGTTAATTCTAAATTATCAAATTAAAAGAACTGTTCACTGTTGATTATTTTACCTTAAGCTCGCTTTCCAGGATCGGAGTGCAATCTTCCCGTTTTTCACGCACACAGCTCGAAACCATTTGAGGAAGGAGTACCCGCAGTCGAAGCCGTTCAACCCCCACGGACCCTTTGGCTTTTGGATAGGGATCTCGTTGCGAGTCCGCGTGCGACCGAAACGTATGACCAAGGAAATTGGATGCTGGAAATTTCCTCTGGAATCAACCTCAACCGGTGCAGTTTCTCTTCTTTTGTTTCGTCGGTTTTTTTTTTTAAGTTTGCACACATTTTAAAGTTGGATGGATTTTGTATGTGGTTGTTGATGTTGTTGTTATTTGTTCCTTGTTGGCTCTGAACCATTGAAGGTCGATTCTATTCCGACGCGATTGAACGGTCGATCGTGGGACTTTTTCACCCGGTTCTTCGCATGGTGCGCAGGAAAATTGCCCGAAGGAAAGCCGAGCGTGCCTTAAGCGTTAAAAACTTATTCCAAAATAACAAATTTACGCTACTTTTAATTGTGGGTCGTTTTTCAGAATTGTATTTTGTGAAACATAGTAAGTAGAATGAATATCGTTTTTCGTTCGATTTAGGAATGCTTTTAATTTGAACAGCGATTCACAGAGATGTTCACAAATCGAAATGACATTTGCTGTATCGACACACACACATTTAGATATAATTTAAAGACATTATCCCTCGACTATTGTCTCGTGAAACATTGATAAGTTGAATCGATCGCTGCTGGTTGGTAAGTTGCTGATGGACGCAATTAAAATTGTAGTAAGTGATTGTTTTCAGGGGGGGGGGGGAGATTTTCATCATTACATTAAATAACAATACTTTTCCGGCTCAAGGTGAACGGCAAATCAACAAAAAAAAAGATTAGAAAGCTAATAAACAATTTGGAAAAAAAAACTTGAGAAAATTGTCCCACCAAAGGGACCTCAACTGGCAAAACTGATAGAAGGAAAATAACAAAAGAAAAAAGTAAATTTGAAGCGTGCGAGAACAGGGGTTTAATGGCGCGAGTCTCTTGGGTAGAATTCGGCCAAGATCGAGGCCGGGATACGCTTGAGCATTTCCTTGGGGAAGATACGGAGCAACTGCCAGCCGATGTCCAGCGATTCGAATACCGTGCGGTTCTCATAGTTACCTTGCGCGATGAAGTTCTTCTCGAATTTGGTCAAGAATTCCAGATACAACAGATCGTCTGGCGTGAGGGCTTCCTCACCGACGACGGCCTTCATGGCCTGCACGTCCTTACCGATGGCGTAGCAAGCGTACAGTTGGTTAGACACATCAGAGTGATCCTTACGGGTCATGCCCTCACCGATGGCAGACTTCATCAGACGAGACAGCGACGGCAGCACGTTGACTGGTGGGTAGATCTGTCTGTTGTGCAGTTGACGATCGACGTAGATTTGGCCCTCGGTAATGTAGCCAGTCAAATCGGGAATTGGATGGGTAATATCGTCGTTAGGCATAGTCAAAATTGGAATCTGCGTAATCGATCCGTTACGACCCTCGACACGTCCGGCACGTTCGTAGATTGTGGCCAAATCGGTGTACATGTAACCGGGGAAACCACGACGTCCGGGCACTTCCTCACGGGCAGCCGACACCTCACGCAAGGCTTCAGCATACGAGGACATATCAGTCAAGATGACCAACACGTGCTTCTCGCACTGGTAGGCCAAGAACTCAGCCGCCGTCAGCGCCAGACGTGGAGTAATGATACGTTCGATGGTCGGATCGTTGGCCAAGTTCAAGAACAGGCACACGTTCTCCATGGAACCGTTCTCCTCGAAATCTTGCTTGAAGAAACGAGCAGTTTCCATGTTGACACCCATAGCGGCGAACACGATGGCAAAGTTGTCCTCATGCTCATCGATCACCGACTTGCCGGTGTGCTTGACCAGACCGGCTTGACGACAAATCTGGGCAGCAATTTCATTATGCGGCAAACCAGCAGCCGAGAAAATCGGAATCTTCTGACCACGGGCAATCGAGTTCATCACATCGATGGCCGAGATACCGGTCTGGATCATTTCCTCCGGGTAGATACGGGACCACGGGTTGATGGGTTGACCCTAGGATAAACAAAAATCAACAATCATGAAAACACTCTCCCACCCAAAATGCAAGCAAAGTACAAACCTGGATATCCAAAAAGTCCTCGGCCAAAATTGGCGGACCCTTGTCGATGGGCTTGCCGGAACCGTTGAACACACGGCCCAACATGTCCTCGGACACCGGGGTACGGAGAATATCGCCGGTGAACTCGCACACCGTGTGGCGGGCGTCAATGCCGGACGTGCCCTCGAACACCTGGACGACGGCCTTGGAGCCGCTGACTTCCAGCACCTGACCGGAGCGGATGGTGCCATCGTTCAGTCGGAGCTGGACGATTTCGGCAAACTTGGGGAACTTGACCTCGTCCAGAATGACCAGCGGACCGTTCACACCGGACACGGTCTTGTAGGCTAGAGGGAGAAACGGAGGTAAGATTGTGATTAGATTTATATGAATGGTTATGTCATCTATCCTGTAAATGTGTGTGGTGTGTTTTAAGGGGAAAGATTCGATAACATTCATCCGAATTCTATTAGACTTGAAGGCTTTTCCCAGCATCCTCACTTCAGCTCACGAGCATGAGTGCTCAATGTTAGGAATATGCTTGAGCATTTGCACTTAAATGCGCATATTATCAATTTTTTACTTGCTGAGATTTTAATTGCATGTAGTGGTGGTGTATAACTTCAAGTTCACATGAATTCTGCTCCTTATCAGCCCGTGCGGAATGAAGCTCAAGCTCATGCTCACTGTTTGCACCGAGCACGAGCGCTCATTTCTCACTTGGTCAATGAGTGACAGGTCTCATCGAGCATTTCATTGATGATTAGCTCACGAGCGAACTTTTACAATGCCTGGTCAGGGTTTCCAAAATTTGGCTAATTTTATACCCATTAAATTAAAAAAAAAAAAAATTTTAATTTCAGAACCCTTAAAAACAAGTTTTGATATTTTTGAGAAGGTTCATTGGCGCGTACTTTAATATATTATATTCTAATTTTTGATACGAGATTTTCAAAATTCCCTTAGAATTTCAGATTTTTCCAGGAAAAATAAAATTCCATGAGGATTCTAGGTTTTCCAGGTTTTTCAAGGTAGTAAACCCTGTATATTTCAAGACTCGAATCAAATTCCCTGATGTTTTAGATTCCCGATTTTCCCGATTCAGTGGCCTTCTGCTGCCTAACTAAGGCTCTGAACCATTTCAGTGCCAACATTTCAAAGCGGCGTAATTGCTTTTGTAAACAATGGCTTTAGCCGTCGATTTCTCGCAATTAAAAGCTCGCCCCTCCAAATTAACAATGCTAGCTAGCAGAGGAAACATTAATCTACCTGTTGGTGTCATTATTTTTCATGAGTGAGCTTTTATTCGCGAGAAATCGACGGCTAAAGCCATTGTTTACAAATGCAATTACGCCCCTTTGAAATGTTGGCACTGATTTGGTGGATTATTTTAACTTTTGGTTAAAATTTGACAGATGGAAAGTTATCGATTAACCCTGCTATCCGAGCGTATAGTCGCTATACTCATAGTCTGGCGGATAGAATTTCGATCTATCAAAAAGCGGAACCAATTTAATATATTGTAGACCAACAATTGAAAAGGTCCTATCAACATTCATAAACAAAACGTTGATTATTCTTTCTTCGACAATCGAACGCAAATTACCGGAATCACCGGATAGGGGAATCTTTCCCCAACGTAAAGATAGTGTTAGTTTGCGTAGGCAAGCCTTGGATCACGAGAAAACGGTTTCCGAAGTTTTGTTCGCAATAACTGATGTGCTCTTTTCTGTTGTTGGTCGTGATTTGCTCGAATCGTTCCGCTATTTGACAGTTCAATTGGTTCCCGAGATTCTATCCGCGAGACTATGAATATAGCGACTATAATCCGAGCGTAATTATTTCTGACAGACAAGAAGTTAAATTTTGACAACCGTGGCTGAGTTCTGCTCGAAAACCGATCGATCGGTAACACAGGGATTTTTGAGCATAAGAAATAACTTGCGAAATGTCACTTGTAACCTCTGCGTGCCTAACGTCTAAATTTGCATAGATTTCAAAATTTAATTAGCTCTAAAAACATAATTTCTCAATATTTTTCTTCACAACAAGTTGCATTTTGTCGGGAATCTATAGAAGTTTTTGAATCAATATGAAAACATTTGGATCAATAAATGGTTCCGGAGTTATTCCGGTTCCCGTTGGGGTCACTTTTGGTCGGTATTCGGCTTTACTGTTCTGTAATAAGTATACACACGATGAACATCATGTTTTTTCTCCTCTCAAATGATGTAATTGGACCAATGGCAGCTATACCGACGGTCCACGATCAGATTGGGCATCCCGGAAATGTTCCGGTGCCCCCGGGAAAGTGGCCAATTCTCAACAAGAGCCAAAACCTATCGTGCGACATATCAAACTTCATGATTTTACAAATCTTGGCCGGTAATGGTCTCATTGAGAGTCCACGGTCACACTAGTCCTTCCGGGCATGTTCCGGTACCCCCGAGTAAGTGGCCAATTCTTGACAAGAACCAAAACCCATCGTACGACAAATCAAACCTCATGGTTTTTCTTAACTCGGCGAATAATGGATTTATTGAGATGACATGTTCACATTGGCCACCTTCCGGTACCCTCGGGGAAGTGGCAAGAATTAAAACTGTTCGTGCGACACAGCACAGTTAATCATTTAAAAAAAAAACACCCCGATGGTAATAGCCTTATAAACAGTCAGCGGTCACACTAGATCCCTCGGGCATGTTCCGGTGCCCCGAAGAAGTAGCCAATGTTCGACAAGAACCAAAACCCGTCGTGAGACATATCAAACTTCATGGTTTTTTCAGAACTCGGCCAGTAATGGCCTAATTGACAGTTCACGGTCATATTCGCCATCTCAGGCATGTCTCAGTGCCCCCCGGCAATGTACCAGTGCTCCAAGGAAATTATTAATTCTCGACCTGAACCAAAACCCGCCATACATCAAACTTCAAGATTTAACGTAGCTCCGTCAGTTTTGGCTTTATTGAGAGTCCACGATCCCATTGGCCCTCCCGGGCATGTTACGGTCTCCCCTTAATGCTGTGACAGGGACCATAGCGACGAGTAAAATAAGAGACATTTTTTTTTTCACTGGAGATTTTGGCTTCCAAGATGTCTCAAAGTCAGACCGGTGCTGGAGATGGAAACGGAGGACATGCCGGAGATGGAAACGGAAGACAAACTGGAGGCGAAGGCGTATCGCAGCCCATGGTGGAGCGACTTCGTGTTCGAGAAAACTATTCTTCATGGACATTCGCGACCAAAATTATGCTAATCCGTTGGACGAACGTTGGACGCAGTGAATGCACCGGAAGAAGGCAATCCGGAGAACGCGCAATCACTGAAGACATTAACCACAATCGAATCGATCACCTATACTGCCCATAAAAGCATAATTCTAGATAGAGCTGGAATTAGGGCGTAACAGCTTTTGTAAACAGTGACTTCTTTCGATGATTTCTCGAAAGCTAAGGTTCGCCCACGCAAATCAACAATACTATCTGGTAGAAGAAGACTTCCCCTACCTGACGGTTGTGTTGGTTTGCGTGGGCGTGCCTTGAGTGCCTAGAAATCATCGATAGAAGTCATTGTTTACAAAGGCTGTTACGCCCTACGTCCAGCTCTATCTAGAATTGTCCCATCTTTGCTTGATTTCCTATTCATATGGGACAGTTATGCTGTTATGGGCAGTATAGCTTGGTGCAATCAGCGAATACAGCGAAACATGGGACAACCTCAAGAACGCTTTCCAGGACGATGGAATGACACGGCGGATTGGATTACTTTTTTTTTTCTTCATTAGAGAGATTTTTAGCCATAGGCTAGTTCATCGCTTCGGATTGGATTACTACTTAAGTTGACCAGTATCCGTCTAGGCGACTAATCCACCGTGGAAGTGTACGTAAATGAAATGATGAGTGCAAGTCATAAGCTGAGCGATGCAGGATTCAAGGTTGAGGACGAGTGGTTAGTCAGTCTGCTGCTGATGGGACTCCCCGAGGTGTACGAATCGATGATAATGGGCCTCGAGGCGTCTGGAAGAAAGATCACGGCGGATGCCGTAAAGACCAAGATTCTACAAGAAGTCAAGGTTTCCAACAATTTAAGCTCAAGCGGAAATGATGGTGCTTTCTATTCCCAGCAGCAGAAAGGGTCGAAATCATTCAATACAAGGCTGGCGTAAAATGCTACTATCGCAAGCGTTTGGGGCACTATGATGCGCAGTGTCCAATGAAGGATGAGAAGCAGAAGAAGGCCAAATTGAACAAGCCTGCTGCGTTTACGCTAACCTATTCCTCACCAGTCGCGAGGCTCGGCAAGAGTTGGGTTGGATATTCGATTTAGGTGCCACTTCGCACATGTGTCACCAGCGGCATTACACTGGAAGATGCAAAGGAGGTTCAGCAGCGATCTGCTGTGTCGACGGTAGAGACCGTTGGCAGCGTGAACATCGAAGCAGATGTCGGCGATGGCACGTGCAATGTTAATTTGTCCAACGAGCTGTGCATTCCCGATCTGGCGATAAACTTGATATCCGTGAGTAAGGTTTGCAGCAGTGGTTGGTTACACAGTAACGTTCTCGAAAGATGCAGGTGTCCATTGGAAGAAAAAGCGGTGTACTGTTTGGCAAATGAAGAAGTTTTCCGCGTAGCCAAGGAATAAACCGACATGGTGTTGTGGCACCGAAGAATGGGGCATTTGAACATGCAAAGTCTCAAGACATGTCCAAGCATAGCAAGCAAGGTTCATAGCAACAGGGATCGATTTCGTTGATGCAGAGGTCCAGGCTTAAATTGCGTGCTTGAAGGGAAAACATTTCCGTCATCCTCTCAAGAAGAGCGGAACTCAGTAGAAGTGCTTGAGGTGCGATTTATGTGGCCCGATGAAGAATGTGTCCATCGGTGGTAGCCGATGTTTCCTAACATTCATTGACGACAACAGCCGCAAGATTTCAAGTCGATGGTGGAAAATCAGACCGGCAAACGGATCAAGCGCATGCGGTCAGATAATGACACAGAATATGAAAACGGTGAGTTTGAAAAGTTTCTTCGCTGATCCGGAATTCACCACAAGGTTACGGTGCCGTACAATCCGGAGTGAATCGAATGAACGCGATACGCTCTGTCTGACGCAAATCTGGAGAAGCGATTTTGGGCGGAGGCTGTTTCAACTGCTGTATTCCTGATCAACCGATCACCGAGGAAAGGTTTGGAAAAACGGTTCACGGGCCAGACCTAGCTGAACTACGGGAGTTCAGAGCGAAAGTGATGTGCCATGTGCCCGAACTGGGATCCGAAATCTGAACCTGGCGTTTTCGTTGGATATTCCGATCGTTCGAAGGGACTTCGGTTTTTCAATCCGAGAA